TTTAAAAAAAATAAAATAAAAAATAAATGGTTTTGCAATGTGGAAATAGCATTTATAATTAGAGATGTGTAGGTTGATTAACTGGTTGAAGAGTTAATGTTAGGGTCCACAATTAAACTTCAGCGTGATTCTACAGTCCCGTTACGGAACTATTTCGTCGGGGTTTGTAACTGTTAGATCAACTATCCACGACGGTTACATGATGATCTAACGGTTACAAATTCCGCGGGACTGTAACATTTCCCTAAACTTCATGCATTATAAATTTCCTCTCTCTTTCATAATTTATCCTTTATATATTTCTTCTTCTTTTTTTTTTCGTTCATAAAATATCTTATTAATTTTTGTAGTCTTTCATGTGTTCATAATTAAATTGTATAGTCTAGCTTGATTAGTAGGAGTGCACAAAGTTCGGTTAACCGAGCTGAACCGAAAACCGATCTATATGCATACTTATACATGTTTTTTATTTATACATATAAGTTATAAAAGCATTAATCTGTTTAAATGATAAAAAATTTCCAAGTTTCATTGACCCCTAAAATTGCACAAACATTAATTTGCACTCAAAATTAGCTTCGTCATAGTCCAAGTCACAGTTCGGGTCTGAGCTCTTCCTTTGATGAGAATTTAAAATTTATTAAGAAGTTTAAACAGGGTGATAGAGAAAAAAAATTTTGGTTCAGATAAAACATCAAATTTTTTGTTTGGTTAAATATTCGAAATATAATAATAATATTAATAATTTATTGCGATTAACTGAAAACCAAACCGAACCGACTACTGGATTTTTGGTTAATCCAAACCGAACCGTAAATTTCGGTTCGGTTTTCAATTACAATATTGGACAAACCTAATTTTCGATTTAATCGAAAATTCGGTTCGGTTCGGTTTTAATCGAATGAGCAGGAATACTACGTGTATATGTAACGAATGGGTATTTAATATATTAAAAGTTTGAGGAAAAAACATAAAATTTGAACACATTGGCTACATAACAAACTAGCAAAAACCCTAAAACTAAGCAAAATTCAATTGCCAATTTGCATTTGATAGAATGAATTTGAACCAAATGTCTCGACAGCAAGAGATGGCGCAATATATATCTCGTGAAAATTGTTTCCTTATAGGGTTAGTTAACAACTTTTGCTTCATACATTGATTGGATCTAAAGTTTTTGTGCGCTAACATGTAATAATATGTTAACCACTTGCTGATATTAGGAAATATGGGAATGTTTGGTTTTGTTGTTAAAATATAAAGCTTATATAATTTCCTATTTTTAGTTATTCAGTTATGACATTGTGTAGTTGTGTATATAGTAAGAAATAGATAATTAGGATTAAATATTACCTCTTGTTATGTTGCGAAAATATCTCAAATCATAGTAGGCATAAATATGTCGATTGACTCTTTCACAAGTCTTCTCTATGTTTGACGGACAAATAAGAGCTAGCTTATAAATTTTCTATATTTAAATAAGTTTTGTTTAGTAGGACGAATTTATTTAAAAAACTCGAGCTTATCTTATAAGTTTTTTTTGGGTAGTTTTCAATAGCTCGTTGAAATTTTTATTTCATCTGACTTACCAACTAATTTATCAAATACTTTTATCATATAAGCTAGCTTTTCATCTATAAGTATAAGATATAATGACCGATAAACGATAAGCTAGCTTATCAGCTATCAGCTAGCATATCGACTAGTTTTACCAAACATAGCTTTAATTTGGTCAACATTATGAATATGTAACAGATCAATAAACACGAATTTGAAGCACGATTTATATCTATCAACCATTGAATTAAGTGTCTCTAAAATGACTCCATCATTAAAGTCAAGATGGGACGAAATACATGTAAGACAAATATACTTCTAACAAATCGAAACTATATTAAAACCATGAATATGAAATAAAAATCTTGTTAAAAACTTAAATATATAGTGTTCAAAAACGTATTCAAATGTGACAAACCATAAATAAAACTAATCCTACATTGGAACTCATATTGTCTATTTAATCTCTATATATACTACAAGAAAACATTTCAATTCCAACGAAAAATTCCAACGGGAAATTTCAATGAATATTCCGACAAACTTAATTTTATGGTAGAATAAGTGTTGGATGATTGAGGAATTTCAACGGATTTTTTCTGTTGGAATAGTTGTAGGAATTTATTTTCATATGATTTTTCGTTGGATTTTAGCTATTCCAACGACCGTTTTTCCCACGAATTTTTATACGTAGGAATATCCGTTGGAATAGTTATTCCGACGGAAAATATAAAGAATTCCAACGGAAAATGTAAGAGTTTTGTTTTGTAGTGATAGTAAAGCAAAAAAATATTGATTCCAAATGTGACCTCATCGGTGGTTGGTATTGGACTTGTATGTATATACTCTTAACAAACTCCCTTAAAATCATAGGGCTGTTGGCTCTTTATTATATTAATTCCAAAGGATCACAACAGAACTACAGAAGAGAATAAATTATATTATATAATAAGCTCCAAATTTGGGACAAAAATTAATTTGACCAATTTTTTTTATTTTTTTATTTTTTCCCATTATGAGGCCTAACCGTGACCTACACAACCGCATGAGGGACTACCGCCAAAGAGAAAATAAATATTTTGGTTTAAAGAGAAATAATTTTTTTTTTTCATTATTTTTGTGTCCATATTTCTCATATAATTTTGGTTTAAAGAGAAAATAAAAATTGGCATCAAAATTCATAACTGCCGCCAAAACAAAGGCTTAAGGAAAATACTCATTTTCACATGTACTAAGAAAATGTATTGTGACACAATTTAATTTTGTGATATGACCTTATTAATGTGAATTAACTAGTGAATATGGGTACAAAAACAAACAGTCAAAGGAATCATTCAATGAAAATATATTCCAACACATACCAATTTTAATAATTGGGTTGGAAAACTCTCGGTTTTGCTATGAACGCCAACAGTTGGCTCTATAGTGGAGTCAACTTTCTATATACAACAAGTAAGTCATACTATATTAATAAAATTATTAGTGTTATTTAAGTAATCAGATAATATGGTATGGTTTACTTGTTGTATATAGAAGGTTGACTCTACTATGGAGCCAACTGTTGGCTTCACAGCAAAACTGGAAAAAATCCAAAGATGAACACCTAAATCTTTTGTTAGAATTAAATTTTTCTTTGGAACTTGATTATCCCACTACAAAGGAATAATGAAATTCTTAC